CCTCCTTTCGGACCGCGACAAAATGAAGTTAATCACTACATAATAAATACCTTAATAAACATATTGTGCTTCAGGCTATTAGTAACAATCTAAGCACTGATGTGAATGGACTCACCCTTCACTTACTCAAGGCAAAACTGATACTCAATATCTCTAGTCATTTCTACTGAAAAATACTGAAGAAACATTTAAGTAAAATTTGATAATATTAAATTTCTTAAACCTCAGCCTTTTGTTAAAAGAGTATTCCACTGCTATAAATATGTGGATACTTGAGCTGTCATTTTAATAACAGTAAGTCAAAATATCAAAAGGAATTATCCCATTCTAACTGAAAAAGGGTTATCTGTAACAGATGAATTATAGTCAGCATGAAAAACAAAAGGCTTGATTTTCATTCTTTTAAGGAAATACCCTGAAAGGATTACAGCATCTCCAGGAAAACTTCTGCTTACCAGATCCACTGCTGCTCACTGGATTTATTTTTTCATCATCTTCATCATCACTATCACAATTAAATGGCTGAAAAGCTATTTCTGACTCTGCATCTGCTTGATTAGCATCTGGCTCTTGCTCAGCAAAGCTTCTCAATGCCACAAGGCGATGATGTATTGCTGCATACAGGTCTTCAGTATCTTTTGAGCCTGCCTGCAGAATATAAAATGCATACAGTCCAAACTAACTGAGAAAAATCTCTATTTTTCACAGAAGATCTGACTGAGAAGTTTAAAAAAATAATGAAAGAGTTGTATTTTGTCCTTTTTAATCAAACCATCCATTTCAGATTCACACTAATAATTAATATCCAAATATAAATTTCAATATAGATAACGTCAAGTTTCTGTAAGTAGTCTGAGTTTTATAATATGTAGCTGTTGATTATTTTCTCTATAGTTACAAGAAAAATAACTTTAAAAATTATTTTCCCTGAAAAATGGCTCCGTTTGCATGGAGTACTTGATATTCCAAATGATTCCTGAGTATGATTCTAGAAGTAAGGAAGCACTGAAATGTTAATATATGCAGTCACTAGATGGATACTACAGGGGTGGATACCAGCCACTTCAGTGACTGGAGAAGCAGCTTACTGCAATCCTTGCTGTCATACATCTTCATCATGTCTATTTTTACTGCCCAGAAGTGCCAGGACAGAATTTGTGGAACAACTCTATAGACTAGAAAAACTGCAGCACCTCTGGAAATCAGGCCATTTACCTGCAGATGAGCAGTCCAGCATAGCTGTATTTAAGTCAGTCCTTGTCTGGAAGTGACAGACTTACAGTGCTTTCCATATTCAGTGCATGGTGCTTTGCTTGTGTATGACATGTGACGCTTCCTGGAAATGATGATCTATTTTTCTTGCCTGGGAGGCTGAATCCTTCCTAGAAAGGTCTACTAGGGAAACTGTAAACATCCTTAAAATCATGTGGATGTTCTCACTTTCCAATCTAGGACATATATGCTATTTATTTGTAAATAAGTCCACCACATTTCCATCCCCAACTTAGCCCTTGCTGAACAAAACCAGGGTTCCCAAGACTATTGTCTTACATAAGGTGACTTGCAAACTCTGTGTTCTTCTCAGTTAAGAAATGGAGGTCCTACACCAGATGGATTATTGCAAGCACTGTGCTGAGAACCATGGCAGAAAACTGTTGCCTTTTACCAGAGTAACTTAGAAACAAGTAACTACTTGTGTAGAAATTCTTACAGTATTGCTTTCGTATAAAAGAGTAATTGATGCATATTACTGGAATTGCATCAGTTGCTATGTGAGCTAGAGTCTGGACATGTCTGTCCTAAGGCCATATCCCATCAGCACACCTAGTTTTTCGAAATACCAAAGGAGAGCACTTCTAACACATTCCGTAATAAAAGCCATGTAATAGCTAACGTAAGCACAGCATGAAGGCCATTTGTTAAAACCAACCTTCAGCAAGTCTTCAGAATCCTAGATGAACAGTGGATTTGGCTGGAGTTTTTATGTCCTACTTACCCGAGTTAGAAACACTTGAACAGAGTGGTCCTCTTGGTCTGTTGCAGTGAAGCACAGGCTTTTTCTGTTTGCTCTTTTTATAACCATTTGTTCCCAGAGTCGGGTGTTGAGAATCAGTCTCAAGCTGCCTTGATTTCGCATAACTGAAACAAGAAGGTTTATATGATAAGATATTGGAACCATCTTAATTTTTACTGCAGCACTTTTTTCTAACACTTGTATACAAGTAATATTTTCATCAATTATTCTTTTTAATTTGGTCTAAAACCCTGGTGAGATTTTTTTTTGTTATTTTTTTTAAATACCCAGATATATCAGTTTCTTTCAATACACTGCCACACAAAGGAAATAAATAATCTGCTGAAATTGTGTAATGACAGCGCAGTAAAAACAACATTCCAGAAGTGTCTTGAAAAGTGTTCCTGGAAAAGCAGAATCAACAATGAGCAAACTGTCAGACTGGTGACTGAGCTGAAGACACATTGCAGCAGAAGTGCACACAACTTAACAACATATGCGAGTGTGGTTGTGTAAACCAAGTGAAAAATGCCCAGTGCCTCACTCCGTAACACAGCAAACATTATCAGGTAAAAAGATTCTCAGCAACTTGACTTAAATAAAACTAGCTTCTCAGTTTTAAATGATTTGAAATAAGCATATTCTGGCCAACATTAGTACAAGTTACTTGGTGTTTTGTGTACAGGGTACTTGTTATTTCATTCTTACTTAGCCTTGACTGCAACATTCCATGTTTGCTGCTTGAAGTGTCATTAAGCCTCAGGGATCCCCTGCCTCTTTCAGTCCAGGTTAAAGAAAGCTTATTAAATACAAAAAGTTTGCAGTTGATCTGAAAGAGAAATACTTGATGAAAATTGCCAGCCAATACTGGTTTTATTGGTTCCAAAACTTTATGGTTTTAAACTTTTGATATGGCTTTTGATATGCATGTATACAAAGATAAACAAATAGATATATCACGATTGTTACCTAAAATGAAATGGCTCCTAAATCTGTGCTAAATACTTTGCTCACCATGGAAAGCATTCAGCATGAATTCCAGTTTACTTTTTCAATTATTTCATCTTCATTAATTTTTCATCTGTAATATCCACCAACACAGCTGAATTTGGTGCAAGTGTTCTACAGTCTGATTCCCTCAATCAATACAAACATTATGTGACCTGGAATACCAGTACCACTACTAGAAGCGTACTGTTACAAAGAGAGTAAAACTTTCATATTCTGGCAAGACAGAAGAATTATCCAAAGATAAAATGATGCTAAGATTTTTTAAATCATATGCAGCATTTGCATGCTCTTTTCTGAGAAAATAGCATTTTGAAGAATAGGAAGATATGCCCTGCCATGTTGGAAAAATAATTGATATTTTAGATGAACTATAAAATAAATTAGTTTAAAAACACATTGCTTTTTTCCCCAAAAAAGTTTTGTTATAGAACTCATCTTTACTCAAATCACTTCCAATTTTGAAGCTTCAGTTACTGTTGGTATACTGTGTGGATGCTTGTAAAATACCACTATAGAATGAAATTCTGAAGAAGTCACTTACTGAAAGGGGCAATAAAATGAAGAAATATAATATGAAAATGAAAATACCAGCCTACAGGAAAATGGATAACCTGAGGCATACCTCAAAAAAGGTAAAAAATTAAAATATAAGATGAAGTTATTTTCAGATTGTTTCAATCTGTAATAGATCTAGATGTTCTTTTGAACAACAAAACTGCTCACCA